GGTAATCATTCTGATCTAAACCAAATTCTCCTGAGTTGTGACAAGCACAAAATTCCTACCATAAATAGGAAGAGACAAATCATTAAATGTCAAAAAACATTTATTTCTTTTAAAATTCTTGCTAATCTAATTCCTTGCTTCTGAGAAATCTATGTATTACAGATTCTCAATCCTGTCAATTTGCATTGTTCTTTTAGTTTTGCTTGCAAAAGATTCTTCTCATTTCTTCAGCTACTTATTTTTCTTTTGGCAGTCAAGAGTAAGACACTCAGAAGGCAGATGTAATCCTGAGAAGTAGGGAAGATCTGCAACTCACACTGATTTACTCACGTTGATAACGGTAGTTGTTAAACATAAGAAACATATGGGGCTCCTTATACTAAGTCAGATGATTTGTCTATTTAGCTCAATACAGTCTCTACTGTGAGGGTTAGAATCAGAGGGCCTAAGAGTAGGCAAGTCTGTTACAATAACAACTGCTCTTTGCACAGAAAAATGACCAACTCACAGTGTGTTCAGATGGAGGAGAAAAAGATGTAAAATATGAAGCTTGGGACTGCTGTAAATATAGCTTGATTCTTAAAAAAAAAAATTATTGAAGTTTTTCAACAGAATTAAAACAGTTCAAATTTTGAATTAATGAAGAATAAAGATAAGTAATAAGAAAGTGAAAAAGAAATATAGAAAAAGAAATAGAAAAGATTCTAAAGCTTGATTCTTATAGATGTCAAAAAAATTCCAATCCACTGCAAATACCACCATTATAAAAAAAGTTTCTTGGTCCTTCCAGCAAATGGCTCAAACTATGCTAGTCTGTAACCAACAATACGGCTTTTTTTACAAATCTGGGTAGCCTATGGCAGGATTATTCCAAAATTGTACACAAAGGAACCAGCCTAGTGAAGCTTAGGAGAGGATTTCCATTCCCATATTAATGTCTCCTGGGGAATTAATTAAACAAGTTTCAAACAATTAAAACAGTCACAAATGACACAAAGTATCCTTTCAAAATGTTGGAAAACTTGCTAAAAGGCTTTTGAGAAATACACAAACAACCCTCAAGAGATAGTTCTTGCTTTTGGGAGAAGAGCAAACTATTACTTATGTTCCCTCCAGATTGCTTCAGTAGTTGCTAGCATCGACAGAGGAATCCGCCCATTCCTGCAGCAATTTGTGAAAATTAAAAAGAATCTCCTTGTTTTTGTTTAAGGTAGAGGTAATTACAGAGGTTTTCTTTCTCTTTTTTGAGACAGAGGCTGTGAGCTCTCTGGCCAAGGCACTTCTGAATCTACATCATACAATCTAATTCTGATTTCATGTGCAACAAAACAAGCTATGTCCACATTATGCTCTTGTTTCCTCTTGACTGGTCAATGAATAACACTGATTCCACTATATTAGAAATTTAAAACATAAAACTAAAGAAACTGATCTTATTTTGTGATATATCAGTTGCAATCAGTTGCTTAGGGAGCCCAGAGGTGAAACAAAATGCAGAACACTATTTTCCCCATGATGTTATGCAAGACGGGCCTATTTTTGAGCTTCACTGTTTTTAATCAATGAATGAAGTCAAAGCATTTATTGAAGAGTGAGCTCCCTTAAAACTGGTGGAACTTAGTTCTGAGCTGCATGGCTAAAGGCACTATATTACTATGGTCTTAGAAAACTTTTGTATAATAAAAATTCTTCACTCTCAGTGCTCTATGTTCTCATCTCCCCTCAGATTAGAGGAGAATTTATATGTAGGTTTTCAAATTGACCATTTGCCCAAAGGACAAGAAACAGAGTGAACATTAGTGCTTCACATTTATCATTGTGAAAATAAGATTAGCTTAGTCCTAATAGGTAAGAGAGACAGTAGTATTATGACGTATTTGATATCTAATAAAAGTATGCCCAGAAATGCAGCTTCGTTCTTCACATAAGTGTGAGATCTGTTTAACTCCATGGGACCGCCATTCAAGTAAATGTGAATAGGATTAGGAGCTAAGTGTAGAAGGGATTCATGATGTAAACTGAATGCCACACACAAAGTAATTGCACACATCTCTGCAAATGTCCACTTTCAAACTCAAAGCAACTGTTTCAAACTTGCAACAGGTTTTTCTGACTTAACCCAGAAATATTCTGAAGAGGCATTTTGAGCTCAAAGCATTCTGCACATCTCTAGATTACTGGCTACAAAAACTTCATACAGCCAGATGGGCTAGGGTTTAGTCCCAGGATTATGGACAGGAGATGTTTTCTAAACCTGAGCATGTGTGGAGGTCGATGGGTCAACAACTCCTTCTCACAATCCTAGCTTCCTTCCTTTTTGTTTTTTAAGTTTTCAGCTCTTAGGGAGCCAAGAAGTGAAACAAAATGCAGAACACTATTTTCCCCATGATGTTATGCAAAACGGGCCTATTTTTGAGTTTCGATGTTTTTAATCAATGAATGAAGTCACAACATCGAGAAATCTATCTGGAGAGAGAACTTTAGTTATCTATTCTGTTCTCAAGTAGAAATGAGCATCACCATTCAGCTAACTATCATTTTGCATCTGAGATGTTTTATTGTTCATAATGTCATATTCTATTTTTAATTATCTCATGTTGTTGTTGTTATTACTATTATTATTATTATTTAAATGTGTATACCACCCTACTTCCAGAGACTGCTGCATGCCATCCAGAGTTGGGATGAAGTCAGGCCACCTATGAATTTAATAAACAAATAAACAAGCAAACTAACATTGGATTGGATAAATAATATCCAATCAGAAAAATATATCACCTGGCTTTAAAAGCCTAAGGGGAGGTATACTCACAGCAATGACTCTGGTCTGCAAGAGAGCACTATGGCAGTCAAGAACACAAGAGAGACCTTCTGCCTTCCTTCTGTTTTCCTTTGGCTATAATAACTTTTGCCAGGAACAGATAGAAGGTGGAAACTTAGCCTGTCTACACTTAGAAGAGTCCTGACATTCCCAGTGACAAAGTAACTTAGCAAAGCTGGAAGAGATCACCAGAAGCCATCTCAGATCAAACAAAGCCACCCTCCCCCAGCCTTATGGCCTCTATGTACATAGAGCTATCACTCTCACCAGTCTCCATCAGCAGCAATGTTGGTGGTGCTGGTTGGGGATGGTAGGTGCGTCATTCTGCACACCTGCCGGGCATGAAGTTGGGGGAGCTGGGAGAGTACTTGGCCAGCTGGACCAATGGTCTCACTTAAAGAACAGCATAATGCCTCTATAAATTATAATTCAGTGGTCCAAAAGTGAGTCTTGGGTTCCTGAACTTCACCTCCCCTTCTCCAGCACAATTGCAAAGGGATCCAAAATGTCTGGTTTGGTACTACCCATAATGTAAATACAGTATTATGTCTGAAGCTGGATTTCCATCCACCCACATGGCTATGCATAGCACCTAAACAGAACCATTCACTACCATATTTAATCCATCACTCAGCCATTTCTAAACCTCAACAAAATTAATACAAATGGACTATGCAACATAGGTAAGGGTGCGTATCTAAAGCCAGCTGGAAGGGAAAATACCACAATGTGTAGCATAGCCCCAAATAAGCTTTAACTATAAAATGACAGCCTTGGCAGAACAAGCCGGTGTGTCAGCAATCCTGTTACACTGTGGGGATGGTTTGTGACGCAGCCATACAAGCATGCGCAGGGCCAACTGCGATGGAAAGTGAGTCAGCAGCGGAAAGAAGCACAGAAAAAGCTATTGTCAGTGGAGGCCCCAAAGGGGGCAGCTGCTTAAAGAGGAGGGTTCGCTGCAACACTAGGATCTATCTCTCTATCTTCATATATTCCAGATCTTGGGTTAAACTTCTGGCTGAGTAAACCCCCCCCCCCATTCAACCACAACTATAAAGCAGAGGAAGGAACAAAATCACTGTTGTGGGATTAAGGATGCTTTCCAGTTAGAGAGAAGAAAAGCAGAAAGCAGAACTCACCTCTTCCACACTCCATTTGGCCACGTTCTTAGCGGTAAGGCCCGAAACCTCTGGCAGCAGTTTGCAATGTTGCTCCCAGCAGAGATGGAGACGGTGGGTCGGATTGGCAGAAAGGGAAGGCATGAAGACAGACTGGTGGAGGGCCTGCTGTAGAGCAAATGCCGTGTCTGGTAGGAGGGCAGGAAGGGGGGGAGAGAGAGAGAAGGGAGGAAGGAAAAATAAACCTATTAGTCCTTGTTCAGGTGCACTTTGGAAGTCAAGCCACTTCCTCCCCTGGGTTTCTTCCCTGTGCTCAGAATATTCCTCTTCCCAAAAGGGAAAGAACAGAACCCTGTGCTATTCCAGCAGCTCTTAGAGATGTCCTGATGCTAACACAGGAGGAGTTGCCAGCATTCTATTACCAGAGAGGAGGCGGTTGGGTGACTGCATCTTCAGCTGGAAATTAATGGCACCATTCCAGCTTACAGTCTGTTCCCAGCTTGCTGAGAGCACTCAGCATGCCAGATAATGACAGGCACTGGCCACCTCCCAGGGGAGAAGACTCCATGGTCAGGAAGTCTGGCAGTTCCATCCAGATGTTAGCATCACTCCCCATTTGTGAAATGACTGAGATGTTAAGAAATTGAAAGCATTTTGTTCCTTTCTCCCTCTGCCCCTCCTTGCCCCTTCCCTCTGATGTGACGTATGTGAGATCATTTGGTTTTTGCTGTATCATACTGCAGTAAGAATCAGTGCCTGACTATGTGTAGAAAAAAACAGAATTGTTGATTAACACAGCATAGCAATATTTCTTTGATTGACAATATTAACTAATTATGGTTTCCACTTCCCCTCCTCCACCTGGGTACACATAAAAAGAAGGTAATAATTGAATACACGGACATTTCAGGATACAATTATTGGAAACATCTCCAGTGACATCTAGTGGCAACAGCAAGGGATTGCTGCTTGACACTTCACTACTCTTAGGTTCACTCCTAGTTTTAAAATTATTCTTTAAAAGATTCACACATGGCCTGGTTCATAAAATGAGCTGAACCAATACTCAAGAGCTTTCTGTAAGAACTCTCAATAGAGTGAAAACATAACGCATCTTAGTATGCTGGCTGAAAGTTAGGCCTGGATAACTTATCTCAATCAGGAGCACGTTCAGAGGAATTTAAAAATCAGGTGAAGAGATAAAAAAAGGGGGATGTGATGGGAAGGAAAAAGGGGGTGTGGTTCACTCAAACCTACAATTGGGGATTTTTTGGAAGGGGGAATATTTGATAATGCTAAAAGCTGGCTGGAGCATCTTACAGAATCACAGCATTAAGAGCTAGGGATATGCAGCAGCATTTTATTATGGATCCCACTTTTTGGCTTCCCTACTCAAAACCAAGTTTTAAAAATTTCCCAGTCAATCAGCAATGTCTTTGTAGTGAAGACAAAACTCTCTAGGGATTGAATTTGTTTTTACTGATTGTTGCAGAAAGAGAGCATTTCCTTTCAGATGGATCTTCAAGAAGTTATTGGTAGAAGCACTTACAATTCAAGAAAGAAGCAAGGTAAACTTGAACTAAGATGCAAAATAATGGGGTTCTAGTTATCATGGAACCCCCCTATTCAATATTTAGAATCAATCAGCAAAGAAATTCACAGTAGTTTCAATAGGCACTAACACAGCTTAACTAACCTCTTTCATCATCAGCCTCCTGCTTCACTAGCTGGAGCTTTATATAGCTATGTGAGCAACCAATCCTGAAAAGTCAAATTTGGGTGTTAAAGCCATAAAGTATTAATAGAAGTACAGAACAGTTTGTCAAAAAAGAGTTTTTAGCCAGGGAGTATAGCCATTAAAATATTTCCTGAGGGTGGCACCTTAAGGACTAACAGGAATATTGTGGCATGTAGCTGCATTAAAGCCTATTTTAACTAGCAAAACAAGTATACAAAGGCATGGTAATTCTTAGAGGCCTTGAGACTGATGGAAGCAACTTGAATTGATTTCGGGATTGTTTGGATATAACACACTGAATGACAGTCCCTGCGTTTGTAAATAAAGTCCTCTTCCCATCTGCAACCCAACTCTTTCCAAACTTTCTTCAAACTTAACTCCTCGTAGGTTGGACTGGTTGAAACATTTTGCTTACCCCTTTGCTCTGATTTTAGTAATAGCAGATGTTTCCCCTTCAGCCCAGTCCTTCTCCTGGCTGGTTTCAGACTGTTCAGAAAGACTATGAACACTGCTTCTCCCTGACCTCTCTCCTTCTTGCGTGGATGACTTTCTGATAAGAAAAATATATATTCTATGTACATTGATCCATATCTGTCACTTCCAAACCATCCATCTACCTAGAGAACAGGACCCAGGGGAGGTTCATGCAAATTGTTAGATTGGTAGGTCTGGCTCAGAAGTTAGTCTCTCTCATTAAGTTCTCTGAGGCAATCTTGTATTTGGGATATAACTGGACTATACTGGAATAAACATCCCACCATACAACAAAGTCTGAGCTTCAGACTTTCTCCCATTTCAATTTTTCCAGAACCTAGGCCTGTACTGTAGTTCCTCCCAAACGCCAGAGAAGCACAGAGAAGAACGGTGCTGCAAAAATCCAGCTCAAAGGTTAACCACGTTTTGCCACATTCTAGGAACCAAATTTACAGTAATGAGAGAATAAAAGCCAGCAAAATGGCAAAAATCTATTGCAGTAGTCAGACCAAATAAAAGCTTAATAAATGTGACCAACATGAAACAGGCCTTGGGATGCAATCTACAACTTCACCTGGACTGTGGAGAATCTTCTTGCAAATCTGTAAGTTGTACAGAAATATCAGGTTTCTTGGGTTTTGGAGCTCCACTACCAGGTGATGGTTTTTCTACACCAAGGCGATCCTGTAACAAACTCTCTCGGGTGCGACTGGTTTCAGAATAAGGGCAGCCAATTAACCTACATCAAAAGCATAACAATGTTTCCATAGCAAAAATATGCCACTGATTTCCCCCCCCCACTTTTTACAGAAGGCTACATTAAGTAAGCAAGCTAGTTTAACACAGCAACCCTCCAAGGGCAAAAAAAAGAAAAGATTTGTAGACCAATGGAGCTTGGGAAACAAATCAAATGGTTTACTAAATAAGAAATTCTGCAGAGAGAAATACTTTTCAGACACACTGGGAAAAAAAGAAGTTAGCTGCCAAAATGACTGCTCTTTAGGAAGACTGAGTATCTGGGTGAGCTTGGAGCAATGTTAAATAAAAGCAAAATCCTGCACTGAATCTGACAAATAAGTTATCAAGAAGGCTAGCTAGAGGCAGCATGTATAAAGAATTAAGAGAAGAATGGTTTAACACATGACTTTAAATAAGTTTAGAAGAAAGGAGCAGGACAAAGCTGGCACCAGAGTAGCAATAAAACTGTTTTAGTAGAATCTAAAACAGTAGATTCTAGCCCTCTCTTCTTCATAGCCATGAGCAGGTTTTCCATGCTGAACATAAAAGGATGCAAGTTTCTCAAGCCTGATCTCTACAATTTACAGAATCACATCATTCATTCAGACCAGCAGATTTCCGTTGAATCTTTTTTCTAACTGCTCCACGGACCTTGATTGTCTCTCTCTCTATATATTCCACCCCTATTACTCCTATGCCCATTACTATCATCAGGGAAGGATCTGTGACACACAACTCCTTCTCTAAGGAAGGGAACAATTCCCTATTATTTGGCTAGTTAGGGAAGGCAAGGTAAAATATGGGATATTGTTCTGAGCCACTCCAGCTTCCCTCACCTCTTGGCATAACTGTGAGAAGATTGTCTTTGGACTTTAAATTATCAGAGCTAGTAAATAATCATGCGAATAGCCCTAACAGGTAGACAGATTTTGATACTGCTTTTCTATCATGTTAGTATTTGCCTTGTGGCTGAGTGAAGCCAAATACAAAACACAAGAGGGAGCTATAAGACAGCACTTTAGAACTAAGACCCACATCCATATTTACAGTTTATTGAAGCTGTGCCGTTTTAAATACAGGAGATACACTCCTTTGGAAATTTGCCCTGTAACTCTCAGGCATACATACGTGTAATGAGTCCCGTATCTGGGTCCCCTGACATGACCCAATCCCTGACAACCAGGAGTAGGGCATACTTGTCCTGCTGGCACCGATGCTGCATCAGCAGCCCCTAGAAAAACAAAGGCAGTTCAGGAATAAACCTTGTTTCAAAGTCTTCTTTCAAATTACGAGGTCCAGAGTGGAGAAAAAAATAGCTCATGTTATTTCTCCTCTTACCTGGTGGGAGCTGCAAGGCATGTCCAGTTTTGGCACACCAACCTATGGGATGAATGTCTGGACTGTCAGCATCAACCCAAAAATCAAAGGTATGATCCCAGCCATCGAAGTGTATCTTAATAAAGCAGATAAAAAAGGAATAATAAAGTTTCCTTACAACTCGCATTTACGCTCCCGATTCCTTTGGAATTGGACCTAACCCAGTTTTCTGGCACATTAAAGTAATCTGGCAGCTGAATAAAGAGAAGAATCCAACTACTAACACAGGAAGATTCTTATTATACTGGAGATCCATCTAACTCAGTACTGTGTATGCTGGCTCCAGACTAGCCTGCCTGGAGTGTGCATATCTGACTTTGACAATTAATAAATGAATAATAATTTTAAAAAATAGAAGTAGCTCTTTAGATTTCAGACAGAAGTTTTTTACAGTCCTGTCTGGAAATTAATGCTGTGATTTACTGATTAAATAAAACAGCTCAACTGTGTTTAGTGTGAGCTGGTGAGAACCTGTCAACTTAGTTCTAAAATTATGCTAGTCTATGACCATAATAAATATTTGATTTGATTAGTTCTAAAATACATTAATTAGTTATCAGTGATAAATCCAATTCAAAATATTGCTTCTGATTTTAAAAGCCCTATCCCAGCCTAGGCGCTATCTCAGAAAACATTTTCTTGCACTGACATTCCATTGGATTTAAAATGAATAAGTCTCTAATTGAAGTATCATCTTTCTGAATGCTGTAATTAAATTCCAGATGGACCATAACCTTTGGCTTCACTTGAGTTGGTAAATACTCTTTTCTGAGGGATTTGTCAACGTCAAGGAAAAACGTCACCAAACATTTGGGATACAAGAAGCCGCCCAGAGTCACCCGTTGGGGGAGATGGGCGGCATACAAGTTTGAAAATAAATAAATAAATAAAATAAATAAATAAAACAGTCCTGCTGAATCTATGGTAACCAAGAGGAATTTACTCCACCATCCTTTTTCCTCATAGTGGCCAATAAATATTTTGAGGCGTCTCATAAGATGAAAGCTGCATCAGTTGAATGTTGGTCTAATTCAATCCTTCAGAGGGACAGATATTTTGTTAATCTGGGGGCTGTTTCTTTAATATTTAGATATTGACTTCTACTGGTGGAATCCTTACATAAATTGGTGGTATCAAACCAAGATCTATTCAACAGCTGCTCTTTTATTTTCTAGCCTAACATCTGTTTCTGCTTTTTTAACTCTTTATAACTGCCTAATCTAGTAATTTCTCCAATATACTGTAGGTTCCTCCCAATTTCTTGGAAAAAAAATAAAACGGAAATCAGCTTAAGTCAGCGGCAGCAAGCTAACAGATGCCCCCATCTGATAATATTTATTTTTTCATTATTTTAATTAAATAAAAGGACAGCCAGCTTGGTGTGAAGCAAAGAGAAAGAGGCAGCGAAATTACAGTACTGAAGTTTATAATTTAAATATATTTTAAACTGTGCTATTGTACTAAAATTGCCTTGAGAACTGAGAACCCTCAATGTGTTCTACAAGACTAAGAAAAAAGATACCTAATTATTAACCCCAACATTTACTGAGACTTCATCTATTCTGTAGCCTCTATAATGAACACTGCAAGATATCATGACTGCTGATAGACAGACAGACAGATAGTGCTCAAAGAAAGATAGATAGATAGATAGATAGATAGATAGATAGATAGATAGATAGTAGAATATAGAGAAATATAGATATAAATGTATAGGTTTATAGTTTCATTCACTACAGTTCCTGTTTCCAGATTCCCTCCCATTTGGAACTGAGGAAGGTCAGAGGTCTTAATGTAACTGTAGGAATGGTAGAAAGGTGTTGCTGCTTTTTTTCCTGGCACTGAACTTCATGGCATAGAAATAAACCCAGCATTAGGTTCCTTGGAGATCAGAGCCAAAGCAAATTCCACTTTCTTTTCCAGCTCTCAGCCCCAAAAAAGGGAGAGGCTGATTGGCTTGCCTTTGTAGTACTCCTTCACCTGAAGAATGAAAGTAAAAACCTGAAAGCTTAAGATATCAGATTTCATCCTTCTAATTAGGATATTCTTATGAGGATTGCTTATTTGAATGGGACACATACCTTGACACGATGGTCATCCTTTTCAATTATGGTCGCCACTCTAATTAGCATGGGGTTTCTTTTGTCTACAGCTTCTAGTTTCATGTTAGTCTGAAATCCATGAGCTGGGCGCTATAAAATAGATTATATATGCAGTCAGACGCAACTAAGGACAATAAGATGATACCTATATCATTTAAACAGCAAATTACATGTAACTGGGCCAATTTGTGAATATGGTGATTCAATTCTCATTTTTGCATATCACAACAAATTAGCTTGTTCAATTGTGGAAATAGATGTTTCCAACTTTCTCTTCTGGCATGTGTGTTATAATAGCAACTGGCACTTAAGGCCAAGATTTCTATTTAATTCATCTAGATTATATTTTCTAATATGATGGGAAAAGTGATGACAATTATGACGATCATAAACATGATAAATATGCCCCAACCATAGTTATTTAGGAGACAGTACAAAAACACAATTACATCTTCCAGTGATGTGGTTAACCCAGTATAAAAACAGAAAAGCTCTTAACAAACCAGTTTAAATGCTCTTGCTGGTGCTGCCTGAGAACCAGTTTCTTCCAGGTATTTCTCCCATGAGAAGCTTTTGAAATCTTTGTATTCTGCAAAGAGATTTTAATTGTCCTCAGTCTTCACCTACCCTTGCAAGAGTAAGTATTAATTAATTACTGGAGGGCTATGATAAGAACTGAAATTTGAGATCACTTGCCTATATTATGCCTAGCTTAGTTTAGCTTAGCTTAATTGCAGCCATAGACCAGAACAACTTAAAAAGCAAAATAACAGTAATAAAAACACATTCATTAGCCAATTATTTACTTATTTTAGTGAATGTGTACAAAGTTACTGTAAGCTTCCACTTTGCTACTACATAAATGAACCTTGTATTCAAGTATTCTTTCTCCTCCCTATGCTTTCCAGTGTCCCTCTTCTCCTGGCAAACCATTTGCTTGTCATTACATTTAAAACAGAGACTGATGGTTCAATATTTTCTCCTAAATCAGAATTACAACCACAGCTATAAATCATGGTTTGTCAGGAGAGAAATAGAGTGTGAGGTAAAAAAAGAAAAAAAGGGAAAATAAGAGCACAAATCAATTCCAATTCTGATACGGAGAGGCCATCTCATTGTTGCATATTAAGCTGTTGGTTTCTGAAATACGTCAGTGATCAGTAACAGAATTAGCATCCCAAATGCTAAGGAGTTGACAAGGAGTTTCCATACCTATCTCTCTATAAGAGAGGGATTTAAAGAAGACACCAACAGCTATTATCGAATGTCTTAAGTAGGCACCCTCCATACAAAACAGTGTAACCGGCATTTGTTTTTAAATATCTTTTATAACGCAATTATATTTAAAACTTCCAAGTGAATTCTCTTTCAAGTTGTTCTATGCTCATCATGGCAGGTGGGTTAGGGGTGGTCCCGGGAGGATGAGCAAAAAATGCAGGAAATGTATGCCAAGAATATATAATCCAGCAGGGTCACCCAAGGTGTGAAGGTCATTCATCCCAGCTGCCCAATTAAAGCAAGCAGGCACCTATATCAAGCAGCAACATTATAAGATGCTGGAGGCACATTATCACTTTGGTGATAATGGCAAAAGTATCATTACATACTGTGTTGGAGAAGGCAATGGAAAATCACTCTTGTATTTTAATAAGAAAAACATGGAAAGACAAGACAAAGTGATTGACAATATAGTGCAGCTAGATTAAAGCTTTGGGGGCTAGTTGCTGATGTTGCCATGCAGGAAAAAAAAGTCTGAAGCTGCAAATACCAAATTATATTGGGAACATGAAAAATAAGATTCACTGGGAGTCTGGGGGGCTTTAAATTTTATCAACAAACAAACAAGCATGAACATGGAAAAGCTCAATACAGTGAAAGATGAAATGAATCAATTGCACACTGACTCTTAGATATCAGCAAATTGAAATGGAGTGGAATTGACACTTTCAGTCAAAAGATCATACTGTTTACTACTCAGGATATGAAAAACAACAAAGCAATGGCGCTGCTTTCCTAGTCAGGAAGGATATTGCAAGGACAGTATTTGGGAATAATGCCCTCAGTACTGAGTAATATCACACAGACATCATGGATAGCCCTTTGATATGATGATTATCCAAGTTTATGCTCCACCCTCTGATGCAGAAGAAGAGACTGTGGATGAGTTTTATAATCAAGTTCAATCTGAAATTGACAGAACATGCAAGATGTGTTGCCTGTGGTTGGAGACTGGAAGGCTAAACTGAGAAAAAGTGAGGAGGAAAATATATTTGGACTGTATGCCTGGGAAATAGAAATGAAGCAGGAGAACTTACCAGTTTCTGCCAATCCAATGATTTCTTCATTGTTAATAGTTTTCAAACAACCAAAACAACACAAGAGAGATAAAATTGATTACAATATTGGTACAAGGAAGTGGAAGAAATTAGCAAAGACATGGTCAGGAGCTGACTGTGGAACAGATCACACTCTACTTATGTGCAAATTCCAGGTCAAGTTAAAGTGGAAGAAGAAAGCTAGTTTCCACAATATAATCTTGAGCTACCATTTTCAAGAAGAACATCAGGAATCACTTTGATAGAAAACCATAGGAACTCATTGACAGGAAACCAGAATAACTGTGACATGAAATCAAAGAATAAGAAAAGCGACTGCTGAAGATCAAGAAACAGAAGAAAGCAGAGTAGATATCAGAACAGACAGTGGAAGCTAAAGCCAAGAAAGAGAAATATCTTAGAAAGCAACTTAAAAGAATTTCAAAGAGCTGTTAGAAGAGACTAGAACAATATTACAATTACATCTGTAAAGATATGAAAGATGGAAATAGATATGGAAAATCAAAGAAAATATTCAAAAGATTTCTGAACGCAGGAGGTTCCAAGCTTGATGTTAAAATCTGCCAATGGACAGATAGTAACTGACTGAAAGAAGATCAAATGAAGATGGAAAAAACATACCAAAATTCTATACAATGAAATATCAACATCTAAGATATCTTAGAAGATATTCCCTATTTACAAGAGCCTGTAGTACCAGAAGATGAAGTTGGATCAGGACTCCAGTCATTACCAAGTCAGAAGACTACAGGAATTGATGGAATATCTACAGGAATATGGCAAGCAACAAAGTAAGAAACAGTAGAGGTTCTAACCAAACTGTGCAGGAAATTTGAAGAACATAATGGAAGATGTCAGTCTATATACCAATGCCAAAGGTTTTCCCTATGATGCTCTACGGAAGCAAAAGTGGGGCTATGAAGAAGCAAGACAGAAAGAGTATAGACACTTTTGAACTTTGGTGTTGGAGAAGACTCTTGAGAATTCCACAGAGAGCCAAGAAAACAAATGGATCATAGAATAAATAAATCCAGAAGTCCATAATGCTGGGAGAAGTAGAAGGAAAGAAAAGAAGAGGACCAGCAGCAAGATGGAGGGACTTGATTACAATGATGATGGGTGCACTGTTGGAAGACCTGAAGGACCAGGTTGGAGATAGATCTTCCTGGAGAAGGTTTATCTATGTGGTTGCTAAGAGTTGATACCAACTTTATGGCACAAAATCATAGTCTGAATTTGGAGAAATGCCCTAATAATAGTGGCATGGAGGAGAAAGAATTATATTCCTTCATGATTTTAAAGATAGTATATGAATATTATTTGCATTTTTTTTTCAGTCAAAGAAAGCTTTTGGTGGCAGGACTCTGGTATCCAGTTGGGGAAGAGAATATCTCCTTTCATAAATCCATTCAAGTAAACTGAGAGCAAAGAACCTAGCAGACTCCAGAGAAGGAAGAATAACTTGTTCCCAAAAGACAAAAGGAAAGAATCAGGATGTTCACTATAGAGACAGCAGAAGGCATACTTCAGGCCATTCAACAATGCTGCCTCTTTTGAAGGGACTATGGCAATTGATAAGCTTTATTTAAAAACTTAAGGATGTTCATGGACTTTGGATTTCCTTTTATTAATTTCCTGCTCTTCCAGAGAAGATGTTCAGATCCTGCATTCTCCTTGTAAATAACACTTTTGTTAATCAATTTATGCTGCAACCCTCAGACAATTTAGATGATAAATTTCCTCAAATTCTGTCTAGCACTCCAAGGATTCAGAATTTGGTTGGGATAAATAGACTCCAAAAATATCTGTAGAACACTGCACTACAAATAAGTAGGGTTTCTCAGTGTAAGCAGTCCAACTGAAACAAGCCTCATAACGTACTAATTCTGTTGTGGCTGATAAATTCCTTGCAGATACTTTCATAGTGACAGAAAATGATGTGCTTTTAACATACCAGCTGGTGTTGTTAGGGGAGTTCCAGTTTCTTGGCAGTAACCAACAGGTCGAATATATGGACTACTAGCATCGCACCTGTACCAAATGAAAGCTATTTTGATCATATTCTACACATGAAGGAATATAGCTATGCAAACTTTGCCTGATGCTTCTTTGCTGAACTTTAATATCAAGGATGCAATAGTATAGCCCAATGGGATCTGTTTTGTAGCTTTCAAGCTCTATAGAATGGGTAAACCAGAGTTAGGGGTTTTTGGTTTTTTTTAGTATTTATGGAATATAAGGAGTTTTAACAGGCAAACTGAAAATAATAAGTCTTCCAGAAAGCTAAAACACCCATTTTACCCCTTATTCTCCCAAACACCCCTCAAGCAGGCCCTTGAGCCAATTTAAGTTGTATATTCCTGCATTATCTCATACATGCTAAGCTACATGGTTTGAATTTATAAGTCTACGTTTTACCAAACTAAATTTAGATTTTAATTCTTTATTCATTACCATGTGTAGACAAGCTACATGGTCCAAATATATTTACCTGGATGGAGTGCTGAATGTAGTTCACCATGGGCTTAGAATTAGAACTTCAACAAACTGAGTGATGAATAAAGCTGGATGCAACCGAATACAGAATCAGCTCCAGAGGTTTCCCCATCTCCAAATCATCCCCCTCACCACCAAATTATTTTACATTCTGCAGTTCCTGGGCAATACCCATTACTCTCATCAACATACTGAAGTTTTGTTCTTACCAGTAATCATAACTTTCACCCCAGTTGTCAAAATGAACTAGCAACCGGTTATCCAACATGTCTGCAATGGTTGCTACACACATCAAGGAAGGATTCTTTTTGTCTACTGCCTCTAACTTCATCCCCACCCGAAAACCAGAAGGTGTGACTGGCTAAGGGACAGGAGAAAATGAAGAAAAAAAAGTTGTCATTAGATGCATTTCTATAATTACAGCCTCGTTACTATTCTTTTTTTAAGTCCGCTTATAGCGGACATTAAAACTCAGAGCTCAATATACAGATGGTTCTTGTTATTAATAGATTTTCCATTCTAGTCTATCAACTGTGGAAAATGATATTGTAGGTAACAAACCTTGAAAAAAATGTACTTTAGATACACACAAAAGCCCATCCACCATTTGAGCACATGCAAAATCCATACAAAAAATCTTTAAAAGTCTTCCTCCAAATAGAACCACAAGCCAAAAACTGATACATAAAACTCTTTACCATGGGTAAGAAGGTCTGATCTGCATTTACTACATGTGCATATATAAAATGACGAATATTGCACCTGTGGGTAATGAAGCCCACTTGTATGCTAGAGAATCTGATCAAATGCTGGATAATGAGAAGCTGTCTTTTGCTATGGCAAGCTAAATTGTTCATCAAGTCTAATATAGTTTACATAAAGCATAGCAGACCTAAGAAATCTCAGGTAAAAGCCTTTCCTAGCTCTAAAATCTGAGATCCTTTTAACTGGATATGCTAGAAGTATGTACAATGTTCTATCATGAGACATTCCAACCCTGAAATAGGTATTCTTGATCTCAGAATGTATTGTTCCAAATTATCTGACCTTAAAACAGGCTTGTTTTAAGATTGGAACACTTCTGGAAATGATTCATTCAAATGTTGGAACATTCAATTAAAAATGTTTTGCCTGTTTCTACTGGGCATCTTCTATAGCATGCTATAACACTTGAGGACACTCAAATGTTCCTTTCTTCCTATATTATCTACTCTGGTATTTAGGGATCAGAACAGAAGTACCATTTCTCACTTTGATCAATATCTTGAGCTAGATTTCAATCTTAAGAAAATTATATTATGGCAACAGCATATTCTTACAAATTATTTGACAAAGTACAAGGAAGTAGTTGATGTTTTCCATAAACTGAGAAAAAGTAACTAGCCTAAAATCTGAACACTGGAGTTTTTCCATGCTGAGGGCTCTTGCAGACAAACCCTCATAGTCATTACTGATGTAATAAATCCAGAATTGCAGTTGCTGGTTCCCAGCACTGAGTTGAAGAAAATCCAGTCTTATTACCTGGGTTCACATATGATTCTAAACCAAAATATGGCTTGATTTTGGCTTGGCGCATTGTGAGAACCCAGACAGTTGTGTTTTATCTAAGAAATCATAACTGAACTATGACTTCATGAGATTTGTGACCCTGATCATAAACCAAAAGCTGTGAAACTTAGAAACAGCTTTTTAATTCACTGAAATCCAAAGGATTTGACAGCCTTTGCTACAGATTGGCTAATGGTATATGAATGAACAAAGGGGGACGTGGTGGTGCAGCGGCTTAATGACGCTGAAAGTTGCCGGCCAGAAATGGTCG